ATCATGCTTAATCCTTTCTGGAATTTTTTCGAGGAAATAAGTGTTTAAGATTTACTTAATTTTTAATAATTAGTAATTTTTAGTAGACATATTTTGAGTTTTTATGTATTTTTGCCTTGTCGCGAAGTGAGAACTGAATTAATTGAATGAGAAATACTCAATCGTCTGTGAAAAACTGTTTCTTTTTTGTTTTGTTTGCTTAATTTCTTTTATACATCGTTCTAGCTTTATTATAGTACTTGAACAGAACATGGGGCAACGATTAGATAATTCTTTAAATGATACAAATTTTGTGTATTCTGAGTTATACTATGAAGGAAATATAATACTGTTAAGTGAACCTAGCGCCAGAGTGTCGCTATGGTAAACAAATAGAGTGAATTTTAAAGAATGCACTTATTCTATTGTGGTTTATGCGCTGTCGGCGAAGTAGATATAATTAAATCCAATAGGTTTAAGTTAGGAAGTCATGTGGTGTACACATCAGATTTTTTATATTCTTATTGTAACCGCATCCTTCTGAAGTTAGCTTATTCGCATAATTTTCCCCTCTCGCCTTTCATACAACAATTGGTAAAAAAAGAGGAAAAATTACGTGAATTAATAAGATATGATATTTTTGATATATTATTGCACTTTTTTGTAAATATTAACAATTTTAATGCTAACTTTTCTGCCTCTGTTGTTATTATTGAAGATTTATGTGACAAGGGACACAATATTCTTTCTCTAGCAATCAGGATATATAATATTTATGTAGTGGAATTCCTTTTTTGTGTCTACGCGAAGAAATCTGGTGAATCCTTTTCAAAAGGACATCGGCAAAAATTAAGATAAAGCTTAATGTTATTATCATAAGATAAATGATAGACTAAACGAATTAAATATAAAAGAGAGTATTTTGTATGAATTGCATATCACGTGGCCTTAAAAATTCTGCTATAAATTAAAAAAATCCCACTGCAAAATTTTCGTAAAAATTACTAATTATGTATATCACAAACATCATGCATTTTATGTAAATAACTCAAATACTTTATTAGAAACGTTTTAAAATATTATTAACTGCGTTTATTGCATTTAAATAACTTAATTTGTTAATCAGAAACAGATAAATTAAACATCTTACGCTTTGCTGAATGGCAACTCAGTGGCTCGGGGAAAGCAAAAATATTTTATTTGAGCAGTGGCAACACATTGCTTTAAAGTCATTAAATTCGTTAATTAAATATGAAGGATATATATCTTAACGATTTTTTTAATGCAACACACTGGTGTGAGGAAGAGAGAAAGGTTTTATTTTGAGCAGTGCCAATGCATTAGTTTATAAATTGCTGAATTGGTTTATCACAAATTCACTAAACTCGCCTAGAACGTAAAATAAATGAATAACAATTTCAAAATTTTGGCTTCAAGATGCAGGTGCCTAGCAGCGGCCGAGCGGTAAAATCGCTGAACATTGGTAGTTCGGTCCGAGGTTCGAATCCCGCAAACGGGCTGTCTGCATGGGAGTTTTCGTGGTTTTCCCATGTGTAACGTATATAGCCAGTTTTCCTTAGAAAGTCCTCAACGAAGACATTCCTCTCTTTAGGCAGATAGACCTCGAGGCTTTGCCATAATCACACACACACACACACACAAGATGCAGGTGCTTTTAAAATTTGGGGCCTCTAGATGCCATCAACTTTCAGCAATGCGACGAATTCACCAATAGATTCTTCATTTTTAATAATAGAGATTAAAAGAAAGTAAAAAAAAAAAAAAAAAAAAAAAAAAAAAGAAAAAGAAAGAAGAAGATCTGAAAGGTTTCAAATTTTAAATTACGTCCAAAGGTGCGTTTTTTTACCATTTTTCTGTTACCTTTATTTATTAAATATCACGTTCTTCGCACTTAAACCATAAAATGAAATTCAAGAGCAATATCGAAAAATAGTTTTAAATTGAGCATATCTTTAGAATTTCCGATATACACTCGCGCGCTGGAGATGAAAATGTTTATTTCTGTACAACGTTGTCATTGCTCGCTTTGAAATCCTTGAATTTGTTAACCAAAAATTCGTTAAAGTTTTACAAAATAGGAAATCGATAATAAAACAAATTTCGAATTTCAAATTTGGGCTTCCACATGCCCATATTCGCAGTATTATTACGTTATTCAAAATTCGATGGCTCTATGTACCGTTGTTTTATCACAATGCGAGAACTATACATACATTTATGCAGATTTTTCATTAATAATTTCTTCAAATATAATGCAGGACTCTAACAGTTGGTTGAAACAGTTTGAAAAGTGAAACGGACATTAATAGGGAACCAACGCAAAATAGCAAAACGAAAACAATAGTCCTTCAGGGATAAAGCCCCCCCTTTTTTTTTTCCTTTTGAGAACATACAGACTCCCCGTGCACCACATATGTACAACACGGGGCTTACAGAAGTAAGTTAACTAGAATATTAAAGGTTACATGTATAAATAAACATTAAAAATTACATGCATAAATTAAGCGAACAAAAGCAGAGAACAGCAGTCTGGACTTCACGAAAACAGATAAGTTCACTGGCCAAGTCACTCCGAACATTTTCAAATCGTTCTGTAAGCATAATCTAGGGCCATCAAATGTAGGACACGAGAATATCAAATGTTCCACATCCTGAGGAACTCTTTTTGAACATTCACATAAATTGTTTGATCGTAGATTAAAACGAAACAGATAACTTGCAAATTTACCGTGACCAGATAAAAACTGAGACACTTTAAAATTTAACGAGAGGAAAGACTCGAATTCAGTCTATGGTAAATAGAAGGAAGGAACCTTTTGGTGACTTCAGCATTACAAGATGAAATGTATTCCTCATTCCACATAGCTAAAAGCTTTTTATAATGAAAGGACTTCCAATAACTCTTTGGAATGCTAATGTTGATATCAATGGGTAAATTTAAGGCATCTTTAGCTAAAGAAATCAGCTCTTTCATTTCCGTAGAAACCATGATGAGCACGCACATAAGCAAAGCAGATATCAATACCTCTAATTCTAAGTGAACTAACAGTTACTAGGGTTTCGATAACTAATTTATCGCAGCTGGTAATACTATTCAAAAGTTGAAGAGAAGAAAGAGAATCAGAACAAATAAGGTACTTTGAGGATGTTGTCCTATGATCCTGGATCCATTTGACGGCAATATAAATGCACAGAAGTTCTGCTTGAAAAACTGTACATTCATTCCGTATACGGTGTCTAAGAAAACAAATCTCGGAATGGCCTTCAAAAAGAACAAATGCAAGGCCAACCTTGTTGTTCATCTTGTTGCCATCTGTAAAGAAAACCATATGAAAACTTATTTCAGCAGTTTCTTTATAATCGCAGAAATTTATGGGTTCTAAAGAAGCGGGATGAGGAAGATCAGTGAAGGGGACAACTTCCATTAATACAGTCTAATAGTAACAATTAATGGAATATCCCGCTTACTGACATTGAGTTGTCAGTAAGGGGACAATTCCATTAAATCATTTGTTATTGCAGGTTCTAAAGTAGCTGGATGACGAATTTCAGTGAAAGGGGATCAATTAGGCGGAACTTCCTGCAAGAACAAAAGTAGCCTCATAGCTTAAGGTTCTATAACCACTAATAATGCAAGAAGAATTCTCCGTTGAATCTTTCTTAAATTTCTTTTGTTAACCTTCTTGGCAAGAACATGTCCCCAAGCATGACAGCCGTACGAAATGAAAGGTACAATAAACTGCTTATACTTGAGTTTCTTAACCTAGTAGCTTACTCCAAAAGTATTTTTGGCAATTCGGTGAAAGCCATTAATAATTTTTTCACATTTAGCAGAAAGAAATTCAATGTGCTTTTTTCATGTTAATTTTTGGTCAAGAATGACACCAAGATATTTAACATTTTCTACAAATTCCAACGCAGAATTATCGAGCATCAAAAAGCAACATTTTGTTCATCAAACGTACTGGGAACAAACATAGCTTTACTTTTTGAAGGATTGAAAGTGAGTTTATGAGAAATCGCCCAACTGGAGACAAAATCTAGAACTTCTTGTGCTCTCAAAAGAATGTTATTCAAAATCCTTCCTTTGGACTAAAAATGTAAAGATTCTAGGCTGCATTTTAAAAAGCTTCGAAATTTGGCAAACTTAATGCATCAATTTCCGAAAATATTTCGTTCTTTTCAAAAGTGAAGTTAGTCTTCATCGTAATTGGTTGAACCTACCTAAATTATGCCAGTTCTTGCCATAAGAGGAATAAATTTGAAAATTTTGAATTCTTGCGCCGTTAAGTTTAATCACATTGGTCTCATTATTGGCCGAGTGGCTAAGATCGGGGATTTTTGATAGTTCGACCAGGGTTCGATTCCAGACGAATCCATATATATTTGCACTCAAATAACCTACTATTGCCATATTCAAATAACCTAATCAGTTTATGGTCCAACTCCATTTAGTTGCTTAACAACGAAATTTTGCCTATTTCATTTCCTGCATTTGTAATACTTATACTATTGTATGAATGCAGCCTAGAGGACATGTATTAGTGCTGTATGACTTGTGTTAGTTGAATTTGCATGGTCTACATTTCGTATGAATTTAGATTCCTTCTTTAGATTCTGGAGACGAAGTTTAATCTCCCTTGTTTTGGATGTGTTTGCAGGAATGAATAATCAGTTATAATTTATTTTATATTATAAGAAGATGTTATATATGTGTTGTGATGAGTTTTCTGTATTAGTTTTTGTCTTGTTCTGTAACCATGTCACTACTGTTGGCAATTACAGAATTCTCTGATTTATTAATTTAATTATTTTTGAAATTAAATTAAATTAATTAATTAATTAATTATTATTGTTATTATTATTTGAAAATAGACTTTCCTTCCAATTTTTTTACAGGAAGATTATGCAGAAATTGTAGTTATTTTGATGCTATGCAACACTTAATTTCTTCTATTGAACGTGATTGTTTTTTCTCACCTAAACTGTTTCTTTTTCAGGTAATGGGTTTGATAAACAGTATCTTGTATGGCGTTAGTACTTATTTTTCATATCAGTCTCAGAAGCAGATGGCCTAAGAAGTGTTAATCGTTTCCAGAGTTAAATGTACTGTGATTGTTGAGGATTTCTTTTCACAAGGACTATTAGCATTTGATATTGTGAAAGAATATTCAATAAATGTTATAATTTCTCAAATGTATATACTATATTTTTCTGTTAAGATATTCACCCAAAGTTCTATTTCTTTTAATTTTCTCTGAAACCTTCATTTCTTCATTTTGCTTACGCAATAATGCTTAGCGTACTTAAACCTCATATATCATAATTTATAAAAATCGTTATTATATTCAGATTTATTTATGAATGTAATTTTTATACTTCCATTATGATCTATCATTTTTGTGAACTTAAATGTTTTTAGAATTTCGATGTACTTAATTGTGCTTTTCTATTAACAGTTTCATTTCAGTATTATACAAGAACTATGCGATTGAGATATAAAATTATATATTTATAAAAGAAATTGAATTAAATTTTTATGTTTTGGTTTGTTAGGAAATTTATAACGTTCATTTAGAATTTCCAAGTACGTAATTCAAGTATGCTTATCAACACTATTATTTGAAGCCATATTTCGATCAGTTATATGAGAACCCATGTAACTAATGTGCTTTAAAATAAAATATTTTGTTAGAACCTTGGAGCTTATTTATCAGACATGACTGATCCATGGAAGTAGAATTCTTTCATCTCTGTCAGAGCTTGAAAACTTGTCAATGATGAATTTATTTTGAAATAAAATATGATTTATAAGCAGTGTATCATTTGGTCATTATTTTAAATTTATAAAATTTATCATTTGGTCATTATTTTAAATTTATAAAAGGGGTCAATGTAAACCGAGAATATTTCCACTAAAGTGTCTTTTTACTTGTGTGTAAGTAAAAATGAAATAAAAGAATATAGTTACCGAAGAAACACACATTATTAATAAATATTTCTGTAAAACATTTTCCAGGCATGATTTTATTTAATTTTAACTTAATTACTTTGCTTTTTAAGTTATTGGGTTAAATTTTAGAGAATCCTCAGATACAGTTCAAGTTTTTTTTTCTTCTCATGACAGCAGCAACAAAATTAGATCTCAAATCCAGGACAATTTTGTTTCTGCTGCATAATAAATATTTTAAGTAATATTTAAATTTCATTTTTACTACCTTGTACGGAGCAAAAGAAGTACTGTAATCGCGAAAAATTTCGGGTATCATATTACAATGGAAATACTTATTTTTACCATTCCCGAATCCATTTGGACGATTCTTTTGCGTGAAGTCTCTACTTATGAATGTATGTATGTATCTCACATAACAGAAAAATGATTATCCGTAGAACACTGAAAGTACATATATGGGATTGCTATAACATCTATTTGTGGACTTCCCTTTATGAAAATATTAACCATGATATTCAATTTCAAACTTTGCAATTTTTTATATCACTTTCAATTTGCCTTGAGGGATCGGTTCGGTTAGTTAAGTTAGAAAAATTCGAGGAAATAAGTTTAAATGAAGTGTGGGAAAAAATTGCATAGTTTAATAGGCCGTATAAAAGAAGTCTTGTGGTGTCCACAACAGATTTTTTTATTTTGGACATTAACATACAGAAACAGCTTTGCATCGTTTATTAGTGAAGCAAATAATCTAATAGTTTCCCTGTCCAAATGTTATTTAAATTATTTCTTATGCAGTTATTATTTTTAGCAATTTTACTGGCATTTTGTTTGAATAACGTTTATACATAAAAAATCTTGCTTATTCTTCGCATTTCTCAGCATAATCCAATAGAGGGAAAAATACACATATAAAATGTCATCTTTTTATGACTGTAAAAAACACCTTTCGCCTCTTAATTTTGTCCCGCCGTTCTCTGTAGGTTTTTTCTTGTTTCCTATTAATAGCAAAGAAGCTTTAAAAATAATCAAACGTAAACAGAAATGAATGCATAGCAGACTGAATCAACTTTCTGGCAATGAAACTTTACGAAAAGTCACATGTATCACATAGATGCTATGCTTAAAAATGCATTTCAGTATAAACCATACGCATTTCAGAAAGTTGCGTGATTGTAATTATGGGAAAACACGGGTAGGGTGGTCTATTTAGCTTAGGAAGGATGTCTTTGTGGAAGATTTTCATATTCGCATTACACGCGGAGAAATCCACTGGAATTCGATATTAGCAACCCTTTCGCTGAATACCAAATGCAAGTGCCAAATGGTTTTATCCACTCAGGCACTTGTGGATTTTATGAAGTAGAACTGATGGCAAGAATTTTGCATGTAAAATGAAAGTCAGAATATATATAAAAATTATCAAAACGATGAATGGATCATTTTGTTTCAAGGAAAATGAATTATAAACAGGAAATATTTTTCTTTAAGAAATATGTGCTTTACGGTAAAAAGCTTCAGCTCTCTTGAGGGTATTCCATATATTTCACTAGAATTAAGAGCAGAATTCAATGCTTTAGATATGAAACTACTTGAACTCTCCGTCTACTAGAGCTATTAGGTTATTCGGAGTAACGTGAAAAATCAACTATCTGGGATTTCCACCACGATTCTTCCGATGCAATTTAGAAGTGTTACCAATTATACTACGAAAGGATGTCGGGGAAAAGGTGATAATTTCTTATAAATAGACAATAATCCATGCAGCTAATACTTCTACTTTAATCGCAATTTTTGGCTAGTTGTTAATTGCATGAAATTTTAGGTTCTAGGTAACCTATAGTATTAAGCCTCAGCAACAATATTCTTGATCCAGCTTTCATATCATTTATGGCATTTTTGTTGTCTAATTCGTCTAGTGATCAACCAGTGCAGCTTCCCCCTTTAAGGGTTTTATGTATGAAATACAGTTAAAGCTTTTTGTGACTATACTATTGTCTATACCAAGAGTTTTCAACCAGGAGGGGAGAACTCCCTCATGGGTTTAATTTAATAGCTTATAAGAAGGAAATGTAGTCAGCCTTTTATATTTAGTTTTAGTTAAGAATATAAAACTACTTATATTAGGATTTTGATATTTATCATAAATGTATATGTATTTTTAGAATTCTGGAAACAAGGACGGGGTTAACGTTTAGCAGTGGCGAAACGTTAGCATGAGGCAAAGAACCCCTAATCTGTACAGCATACGAAAGCATAAAATTAGTCTTTCTGAAAGTTTCTTGGGAGATCAGTGGCAGAGAAGAATACTAGACTTTCTGTCCTCCATATTATTCTCTATCAGAATTTAGATGGATTTGTACAAAACTTATATCACTCAAGATATGAGAGCAAAATAGATGTACTCTCTTCCCTGTCATTATTATTTACGATAGTCTGCTTTCAATGATTCAGAGTAAACAACAACAACAGCATTTATGTATCTGGAATATGATAAAAGTTTTACTTTAGCCACTCCCAAGGTCACGTGAATCAAGTCACATCCTTGGTTAACGGAAATAGAAATGTAACCTGAATTTTGAAGATATCTCGACTTAACTATGTTGACGCGAGATTCATACTGTAGGTTTTCTTATGGGACGTTTCGTTAACGCTAGAAAAAGTTTACAAGCAATTTTTACATTGATTGTAAAAGGACTACTGGATATTTTTCAGGTAAGCATACATGTTTATAAAATAATTATATCTTTATTGCTATTTCAAATAGTATAAGAGGCAATGAAATATTCAGTTTAAAATTTAAAAAAGGAACGTATTTTGTTTTTCGTAATCAGTATAAATTAAATATCTAAGGAAAATTAAAGCAAATTTTGTAACATAATGTATTTAATAAAATAGTACATTTTCAAAAGATTTAATTAAAAATAAATGGGAGCAAGAAAATTTCTGTAAATTTAACTGACTCCTTGGTGGCTTAATTAAGCAAAGCATACGGGAATTATCAGTGGGAAATTTGTATATATATATATATATATATATAATTTTCCTGTTCGGTACTTTGCCATATTATTGCCACGTTCTTGCTATTGCATTATGGCACTTTCAGAAATCAAATTATTACTGCGGATATTTTTTTATTGTCTTCAAAAACGCATAATAAAAATATTTTGTAAATGATAAAGCAAACTGAATTTATTATTTGACAGTTTGGTGATTGCTAAAATGTAGACTTATATTTCAGTTTTCAGTAAGGCAAACTCATGCTCCTTTATAAAATTTAAAATCGTAACAGTTTCTTTATTTAAAGTTGTAAATATGCATTTGCAACTTTTGAAACCTGGAAAACGCACGTCTGCGACGTTTTATTGTCATACGAGAATTTGTAACTGCTTTATTTTTTACCACTATATTTTCGATGATGATGGTTTTAAACTGCGAAGTTTTTGAACCATTTTTTTTGGCTAGGGTAAAATTTTGTACCACAATGTTTTACAACTACGATTTTTTTTTTGGGGGGGGGCTTTTTTTTCTGCCACGATGTTTTGTACGACGACTTTTCGCCTTGTGTTGTTTTCTCCCCGACGTTTTTGTCTGCGATGTTTTCGGCTGCAATCATTAAAAGAAAGGTTGGGTTTAAGTTCCGAATTAGCTACGTCATCATCGTTATATAAAAGACATATGATATGGAAAATTATAGAAATGACGCAGTCCAGAAAAAATTATTAATATTCTCAGAAAAGGGAGGGGAAATACCCCAACTAAAAGGAAGAATTAAGGAGCTTTTTCTAATTTAAGTTATAATATTTTACATATTTTTATCTTAAATATTCATACACATATATATATGTGTGCGTGTGGTAAGATAGAAAATAAATACAGTAAAAATTAGTCTAAAACCTAATCCATTTGCGAGCTGGAAGCATCAACAAGTGATGGCAATAATATAAAATAAATACATTTAAAATTCATCCCATATTCAGGTCGGAATAAACCATATGCAATAATGAAAAGCCAGCAGCACAGTGACAAACTCAGGAATGTAGAGACATTTGGTATTTTTTGGAAGCAGGCAAGAAGAAAAATTAGCAACGCCTTCGCCGGGAATTGAACCGCGGACCTCTGAAATTCTCACCCAGCGTGCATACTACCACAACACGAAGGCATGCCAAGAAGGCGGGAGAAATACCTTATATATTGGTATCCGCCGATAACATCGCGGCAAAAAATTCGCGGACGAAAACGTCGCGGAGAAAACAACGCAAAGCGAAAACGTGTGCTACAAAACATCGTGGATGAAAACAACGCACTTCTAAAACATCATGGTTCAAAATATCGTCGTCGAAAATAATCGGTTCAAAACTTCGCAGTTTTAAAAACAAGTCGTCGAAAATATCGTGGTAAAAACTAAATATCTACAACTCTCGCAGGACGAAACATCGCAGACAAGTGGCTTTTTTCAGGCTTTTAATAATTGTAAATGGATATTCCCATAATAATTTGTGTGAACAAGATGGAAAGAAGGATAATTTTTTCATATATATTTATTATTAACTAAACTTTTGCTTATAAATTTTTTTATTTTTTACAGAAGCAATTTTTATAGATAAGTCAGTAGTTATTTGCTTCTTTCTCTAATCTTTTTTAATTGTACTTTTTAGAAAAATTACCAGTAAAAACTTTAAAAAACGATTTATTACTGGCCTTTGTTAGTTAACTATGTCGGTTTAAAATTCCATTAAGTGCATAAGTTGAATTAATTTTTTTTAAAGTTTCCTTCTTACTTTATCAGCAAAAATTTATTAGTTAATAAAAATATGAAAAATAAAATTATTCTTCTTTCCATCTTGTTCACAAATCATTATGGGAATAT